AAAATTGCCACCCCCCTGGAAAACCCGATTAAATGCGCCACCCTGTATATGTGTAATACCTGTTGAACAGTTGGTGTGATTGCCTGTGTACCAGCTGGTGTTGTGGCCAATGGTGAATCAAAAGGTGAGCTCGAACTATTGGAATGGCTATCGGCTGACTGCTGTTAATAAAGAAAAAAAACCATTAACCTAATTAAGTTATGTAAAAACCAGAGAATTTAATGATAGTCAAAGGACTAAAGTGACATGAATGGTATTATTATTTTTTTGAAAATGGCATATTTAATTAAAAACGAAACAAATTGAGATACAATGACAAATTATCAAACTAATTTAAGTTAGAGGGTGTTGAGTGTGACCTAGAAACCTTATGCCGATTGCGTGATTATCAATAGTTTTGTTACGATTTAATTAATTCATTGAGGTAGAATAAAATTATGGAAAAAAATGTTCACCGAAAGTTAATTTTTAATTAAAATATTATACTTTGTTCAGAAAAACGGAATGATTAATTCGGAAATTTTCTGCTAAATACATGAAATATATTTTACTGCATGACCGAGAATGTTTCGTTAGTGAAATTATGCACTTACGATTGGAAAAATCATAATCATCACTTGTAATTTACAAAAGAAAAATGTATTATATTATCACACAAAAAATTTATTAGGATTCCTGTCAAAATATTGCGATTTTATAAGGAAACCTAACAAATTCATTTTTTAATAGGAATTCTAAAATAATTTGTGGGGTTTATCTCTTGTGTGATTCGCTATGCAAAAGAACATTTCAATTTTATATGAACACAATCGAATTTATTTTAAAAATGCAAGCAATTTAACTATTTTATTCATGCGAAGTTTCAGACAAAAAACAATCATCTAGATAGATGTAATTGAGTAGAGCAGATTATGCGTGTAAATCGCTATGCACTGGCAGACATACAAGCAGATTTCGTAGACGCACCCAAAAAGATGAAAAAAAGAAAACGACAATACAAAAACTTATGCAAATTTGTGTTAAGTCGACACAAATGTTTGACGACTATAATGTTATTGGATTTATTCAAAAATGCCAACCATATAAATCGACTCATTTAATTTCATTAATAGATATATACAACTTAGTTCAAAATTGTGTGAAATAAATTAAATACCGTTCCTTCGTTGAATATCTTATATCGACGATTATTATTCTTTATTATTTTTTGACCATGAATAGTAAAAATCCAAAAATATAATATTTTAAGGGCTAACCAACTAAACTATGTTGTTAAAATTGTTCATTATACTGTGAGAACTAAAAGAAATTTTTGATAAATCTATCAATTCAAATCTGTATCAAAACACATTTTATCTTTTTAAGGACAGCGGAAACATCGGTAATCCATTGATAAAATTCAATGGATTACTTTTCTGTGACATTTTATCAAATACTTTTTATGTAAATATTCGTGGTCAAAGTTGAAGTTATTTGGCTAATTTGTTGTTTTTCTCTCTTTCAAAGTTAAAAACAAATCAAATAAATTTTACCTGTGATACTTTACTGGAGAATGGAATTGATGTTGTGGTCGATGGAAATGAATATTCGAGTGGATTTGTCATGGCCATCACAGAGTTAAGAATCTCGGGTGTTAGCGGTGTTGTTGTATTGGTGCCAACAGTTAAATTCGATGTATTTGTTGCATTTGGCGTTGGAACAACGGGTATTGACGTTGTCGACATATCAACATTTATTATTGGTATTCCGTTCATATTATCGTTAAAATTATATATATACATTTGTTTTTTAATCTTTTTTTTTTCTTTATACTAGCAACAGTTCAATGTCAATCGAATTCGGAAATCAAATCTCACGAAGAATCAAGAAATTAATGAAAAACAATACCTTCGAAAAGGTCGTATATGTTGTCGATGCAGACAATAATAACCAACGCACAATAAACACGATTAAATGAGTAAAAAAAGACGTATACTGTCACGCTTTACAACTCACGATTCAAATGGCCAGAAATTATGGCATATACTCACAAATTCGGTACTTTTAAATTTTGCAATCACAATAAATTGCTTTGAAAAATCATTAACTCTGACAATTTTGCCTGTTATATATTATTTTATTCAATTTCTGTGTTGAATGATTTGAAAACACCGATACGATATTCACATCCTATACAATGTGTGAAGTTGAAACAATATAGGAATATTATAATGTTTGTTTTTGTACTTTTAATTTGTGTTATTTAATTTCTAAAGGCCACTGTTTTTTCTCACAATTAGTTAAATTATAAATTTACGTGAAGTATACGGATCTGCTCTGCAGCTATTGTTAGAATCTGTAAGGAATATAAAAAATAAGTTTTAAAAATTGTACTAAGCATATAATCTAAAGGATCTTATTAGTGTAAATGACTTCTACTGAATCAGATGATTTTATCTATCCTTCAACCATTTTTTTTTATTTTTAAGTAGGTAGTATCTTGTTTAAATAACGATCACAATCAAACTATCTGAACAATGAACATCGGTAGGAAAAAGTCCATTGAAAAACCTATTACCTTAATATGAAACGCATTAAGAATTTGCACAGAGAACCATGACCCAGTGCAACAACAAGTATTTTCGATTTGAAAAAGAGATTCAATTTTTTGAAACTGAAATAACATAGAATTTGACGGTCACAGACACATCCGAAAATTTTAGATATCTTTTTATTTACAGTAGATTTGTTTTATGGCGTCCAGATGCAAATCAGCCACCAAATTATATATGGAATGAAAATGTGAAAAAAAGAAAAGGACATTTGAAAAACAACGCCAAAAATCAACAAACCGAAAACTCAAGATCCGTGTGTTGTATTTTTGTGAAACATGTGTATAAAGATGATTTTTTTCTTGAACGTATAAAAAAACTCACAGCAATATGAACGCGCCCAAATCTAAAACCGGATTTGAATAATACGCACTTAGAAATGTCCTTGGCTATCGTAAGCAAACGAAAATACGAAAAAGACGAGAAGAGAACACATGAACCGTTTTATTTGTATGTTGGTAACACCTCGTTTTTTCTTTCCATTGTTGTCGGTTTTTACTTTTCCGCACACACCTAGTGTGTAAGGTAAAGTATTGGAATCGGTCGAAAAATTAAAACCCATCAAAAATGTGTTTTCTGGGTGTTTTTGGGGCCAGGGAACACGAATCCAGCGTTTTTTCGATGTCCAAATGTATGTGCGTACCCTGTACCCTGTACGCTGTACGCAAAAATTTGTTAACACGATAACTTTCAAACAAGAAAATTAATTCAAAATCTGACTTCACAGGATGATTGGGGGTGCCGAGGAATAAAAACCATTAGATTTTGAGCGACTTTGGTTGACAGAGTGAAGTGTCATGTCTGGTGTGATGCCCATGGCCATCCATGGGAAAAATTCAATTTTTCTTCCAAAAGTGATATTTAATGTATTCTTAAACACTCAAAAATATGTATTGGGGGTTTTTTGGGTACGAGAAAACGGTTATATGACGTTAGTTTTGCGATACAAATATATTTCAACACACTTTTCATACAAAAATTTCAAAAATTTTGGATTTTTGTATGGAAGCCATGTCTGTATGATATCGTAATGAGCTGAAAGTTTGCACAGGTTATTTTTATCACACAAAAATAACATTCCGAGGGTTTGAAGAGATTTCAATGCATAATAACGAACAAAATTTTGGATTTTTTGCTCAAAAACGAAAATTTTGTATGGAAGGTACCACTCAATTGTATTGAAATTTTTTCAAACTCTAAAAAATAACATCTGCAAATTTTCACATGATTATGATTATGATATCATACAGGCATTGAAAAGTCTATCAAAAATTATTTGTATCGCAAAACTTATATCAGATTCAGTTTTCTCATGAATTCATATTTACGGTAAAAGATACGTAATAAATGCATATTGTGGATCACAGTGCGGAAAAGTTCATCTTACGGATGTAAGACATTTTATTTTAATGGAAATTAATTTTCTTTCTAATTTTGTGCGATTCTGTGTTCACAATATTTAAAAATATTAAATTAGAAAATTAAAAACAAACTTATCTGTCCCAAACTGTCCCAATGTTTGTTTTTTTTTATTAGAGCAGTGCTGCCAACATATGTTATGAATTCAAACGTTATAAATGTAATGTAAAAGTTAAAAATGTAGCGTCAAGAGATTGCGTAATTGAAAGTGAGGTTATGTTGCACACATTTTGATTTAGTTATTTCTGAATATTTTTAATTCCAATCCCCCAAAAATGAAAATGATTGTATGTATGGCAACACTGCCATACAAGTCGATTGGCCACTAGGCATGACTTTAAGTTAGTATATATTTGATGTTCAAAGCGAACGGATGATCGGAAGGAAAAGAGGAATAAATGTGGAGTTTTTGATTTGTATTTTCTCCACAATAAAAAATATTTGTTTTGTAATTGTAGTTTAGCTTTGGACCCCAACAATGATCAACCGTTCAGGAATACATACATTTATGCTGTAGATTGAATGATGCATGCATTATTCAATGTACATCATATGCTGCAAACGCAACGCAAGCACTGTCGTACAGCATAAATGTATGTATTCCTGAACGGTTGAAAATGATATTAATTTACATTTAAAAATATATTTACATTTATTTTGTAAATATTTTCTGGTGTTTTGTAGATTTAAATTTGTTTAGCAATCAACGTCATTTTTTTATCATTGTGACAAAAAAGTGAGGTTTAGTTAACCATTTTATTTTTCTAATTTAATATTTTTCAATATTGAGAACAGTAGATCTCACAAAATTACAAAGAAAAAAAATGTCTTACATCCGTAAGATGAACTTTTCCGCACTGTAATCCAAAACATGCATTTATTACAAATCTTTTACTCAAAGAAACTCGATAAAAATAATTTTCGAAGCACTTTTCATACAAAAACTACTAAAAATGGGAATTTTTGTATCGCAGCCATGCCTATATGATATCGTAATCATGTGAAAATTTGCAGAGGTTATTTTTTTCACAAAAAGTTAACATTCTGAAAGTTTGAAGAAATTTCAATGCATCTGCATTTTGAGAGAAAAATCCAAAATTTTGTTCGGGTGGTACCCCTAATATGCTTTGAAATGTCTTCAAACTCCCAGAATCGTATTTTCGTGTGATAAAAATAACCTGTGCAAAGTTTCAGCTCATTACGATATCATACAGGCATGGCTTTCATACAAAAATTCAAATTTTTTGAAATTTTTGTATGAAAAGTGTGTCGAAAGTTATTTGTATCGCAAAACTAACGTCATATTCGGTTTTCTCGTACCCGAAAACCTCCCAATACATATTTTTGAGTGTTTAAGAATACATTAAATATCACTTTTGGAAGAAAAATTGAATTTTCCCCATGGATGGCCATGGGCATCACACCAGACATGACACTTCACTCTGTCAACCAAAGTCGCTCAAAATCTAATGGTTTCTATTCCTCGGCACCCCCAATCATCCCGTGAAGTCAGATTTTGAATTACTTTTCTTGTTTGAAAGTTATCGTGTTAACAAATTTTTGCGTAAAGGGTACAGGGTACAGCGTACAGGGTACGCACATACACTCGGACATCAAAAAAATGCTGGATTCGTGTTCCCTGGCCCCAAAAACACCCAGAAACCACATTTTTGATGGGTGTTAATTTTTCGACCGATTCCAATACTTTACCTTACACACTGAGTGTGTGCGGAAAAGTAATAATTCCCATTTAAAAACGTTTAAAAAATTTATTTATTGTTACTTTTTTAAATTATTTTTCTGTACTTTTTAGACTTTTTAAATGGATTTTTGTTATTGTGAATACGCGAGCGCCATTTGTTAGATGCAACACAAAACATTTGTGACAGATTAGTTTGATTTAATGCAATCAGGGAGCGCGTCAGTGTTTTCGGTCACAGATAGAACACGGCTACGGTAAAAACAATACATTTTGAGTGTGATGGGTCATAATTATAAATTATAGGTCACGTGTGCTGGCTGAAAAATACAAGTAAACTTGAATAAATAAAAGCAAGTAGATTCGCAATTATATTGGATTTGACGCCTTCTTAAAAGTGCCGCAGACAGATTTGGTTGGCTGAGCGGTAGTATTATTATTATTTAGTTCCACCGAAAAGGAGATGCCCACACATATGAATGTTTTATCTACTCAATTGTATGTATGTAATTAATATGAATTCGAGTTTGCTGTGGGCTGAATTGATTCCGACAATTAGTTTTTTTATGATCGAATTCACTGATTAGGCTGCCTTTATGCTGAATTGCCGTAACTTTGTGCTTAAATAAATTCAATCGAATTATATATTTGCACAAATGATGCGAGAATTTTATTTCCATTTGATTTATGCTCATTAGATTTTCTGTTAACTGCGGCTGTGCATTTATTGTTAATTTTTAAGCATTGATCTTTATCTGTTTATTATTTGTCTGTTAATTGTGTTATATTAAGTGATCATGGCCATTGAATATCCACTACAACAACAGTGCATAAATGGTAATCGGAAATGAGTGGAACTATAGTAGTTGAAATAAATTTGCACATTTAACGAATGCCTGTTCTATTTGTCAATGGCGTCGGCATTGACCAATGGGATGGTTTAATTGAATTGGAATTCGATGTTCGATGCAGTCCTGTTAATTAATTGTAGAGCAATCATTATATTTTACGCAACCGTGTAAGACATATATGAGTTCAGAAGCTATTGTATGCGAGTCTCGCTGATCAGCGCCATCATACATGAGTTCTCTCAACTCAATTTAGTTCCCTACCATTGAAATGGAAAAGAGAAAAAAACAACAACAATAACACGGCCACACAGAGCTGTACTGTGCGTGCCGATGCATACATACACATATACGCTCTGTTCATTCTTCCAATCCACTACTATACGATGGTCAACAGATCTATGTAGCCATGTTATTGCTGTTCTTTTTTTCTCTTTTTCGATCCATGCAGTGTAACTAAATTGAGTTCAACTATTGAATGAAAGATGGCACAGATGAGGGGTATTCGCATTTTGTCTCTTCATAGACTTACCCGGTTGATTTTACGTAAATTCGAAAGCTATTTTCGATGAATGAAAACAATACTCGATATACAGGGTGTCTCATATATCAGGCTCACTATGAAGGAGTGAAAATTTATAAAAACCCTTTGGGGGGTATGTTGGGGGTAAAAAATAGAAAATTTC